AAAAAAAAAAAAAAAAAAAAAAAAAAGAAAGAAAGAAAGAAAGAAACATACCAAAACTGCCAAACATTCTGGAGAAAGATCACTTTAATTTCTCTAAAATGAAATTATGATATTATGTAACTAAATGTGTATATTCCTAAAATTAAAAACAAAAGTTATTGTAATCCTATTACAGTTAGGGTCTTTAGTAATGCTGGTGAACTAAGTTAATTCAAAGTGAAAACAGAACTTTATTAGTACATTCTTTCAAATACAATGTTATCACCTGAGAAATGATACACATCTAGTTACTCTTTTCAGGGAAATTCTGAACTGATCATACATACATAGCAAATATTGAATGTCTTAACATTACATTTTTACCACAGATGTGTGTGTGTGTGTGTGTGTGTGTGTGTGTGTGTGTGTGTGTGTGATATCGTTTGCCAGTTTTGTCTGGTACTGGGCAATAATGGGAAACTGAATTAGTATTTTGTGAATCTGTTTTGAAACAAAAAGCAGGTTCTCCAATTAGAAATATTAGGAACACATGAGTTAGCTTAGGTAGACATGAATATTTTTGGTGTTCATTCTCTCTCTGACTTAGACATCCTAACTACAACCTTTCAAACTTTCAGGATGTTTCAGGAGACACTGCTGTGTCTGTGCTGTCTGACTTGTTTAATGCCGATCAAAGGTTTTCTACCTAATTAAGGTGTTGATTCATCCAACAATATCATGAAAGATCTTAGGTTAAAAAAAAAAGAGAGAGCGAGAAACCATAACCTTGAGGCAGCCAGTTAAACCTAAAGCATTCAAACTCTTAATAATGTGCTCTGACTGGCTAGCAAAAATAAAAGCAGTAATCATAGCCTCAGAACTCAGCATAAAACAATTCTTAAGAGTGATTATTAGGAAGCTGGGCGTTGGTGGCGCACGCCTTTAGTCCCAGGAGTTGGGAGGCAGAGGCAGGTGGATCTCTGTGAGTTCGAGGCCAGTCTGGTCTCCAGAGCGAGTGCCAGGATAGGCTCCAAAGCTACACAGAACACAAAAAAACACAAAAAAAAAAAAAAAAAAAAAAAAAAAAAAAAAAAAAAAGAACACTGGCTGTTCTTGCAGAGGATAGGAATTCCATTCCCAGCACCCATATGGTGGTTCACAGCTATTAGTAAACTCCAGTTCCAGAGGATCCAAAACCCTTCTCTGGCCTCCATAGGTACTAGGCATATATGTGATCCAAATGTATATAGTATACACAGACAAAATACTTATACACCTGAAATAAAAATAAAATCTTTTTTAAGGCTTAATATCTTTTTTAGTAATCAATATCTGACTATTTTTCACTTTAATTATCTTGATATATTAGTGAGGTAAGTGTATTTCCAAATGAAATTGCACAAGGCAATATATATTATAATTTAATATATATTTAACTAGGAATTATGTATAAGATGCTTATAAAGTCAGAAGTGCTCAGGCTGGCCTCAAAATCCTATTGACCGTCAAGATCTGGAGTTACAAATGTGTGTCACCAAAAACAGCTTATCTAAGAACCCCCCTCCCCCCACACACAAAACAAACAAACAAACAAACAAACAAACAAACAAAAAAGGGTACATGTTAAATCCCTGATAAAGGTCTGAAATGATTGGGACTGGAAGTGTTTTGGACTTCAGAATACACCAGATTTTAGACTATTTTCTGTAACATTTACCAGCTGAGCATCCTATTCTGAAAATCAGAAATCTAAAATTGATCCAAAACCTGAAACTTTTTTTTTGCATTAGATATCAGCATTTAAAAGCTTTTGGATTTCAGATTAAGGATCATCAAAACTATACCTACAGAGCCAAGCATGATGGCTCATGCCTGTTATCCCAGCACTTGGAAGGCTGAAGCAGGAAGACTGTTGAGAGTTCAAGGATAACTTAGGCTGCATAGTGAGACTGTCTCAAATACAAAAACAACAAAAAACAAAACAAAAAATTTGTAATTACAATTCAGCTTTTCCAAGCCAGGCAGAGGCATTATACTTACATATGCTTACCCAAGTACAATACATGTAAATTAAACAAAGCTTAATAATCTAACAAAAGTCCCTCTTCCTAAAATTAAATAGATAATATTGGTGACTCTAGAAAATAAAGAAGAAACTTCCAAACACATAATAATGCCTGGGTGATTATATACCCATTACAGATTATTTCATTCAAGAGCTGTTATCAAGGGGCTGGAGAGATGGCTCAGGTTAGGAGCACTGGCTGCTCTTCCAGAAGACCCCAGCACCCACATGGCAGTTCACAACTTTCATGGTGCCAAATCCCAAACAAAACTACAAGTAAAACACACACAAAAAAACACAAACAAACAAAAACAAAAACCTGTCATCAAGGGGAATACAGAGATAGTTCAAAATTTAAGAGCACTTGCTGCTCTTTAAGAGGATTTAAGGTCAATTCCCTGCACCCACATCAGGCAACTCACAGCACCTGTAACTCCAGTTCCAGGGTATACTACACACTCTTCCGTCCTCAGCAGGCATATGTATACACATGGTGCACATACAGACAAGCAGACACATACACAAAATTTTAAAAGTAAAACTAATTTTATAAAGAACTTTCACCTTTCACCTTGATTGTGAGAACACAAGAGAATCAAAACAAAAAATTTGAGTGGGTAAAATCGTCTCAAACTACCAAAAGCAGAAACTTACGTATCTAAATAGCTAGATATTGCTGTGCATAATGGCATAAGCCTTTAATCCCAGCAACTGGGAGGCAGGGGCAGGCAGATCTCTGTGAGTTTGAGGTCAGCCTGGTCTACATAGAAAGCTTCAGGACCTCCAGAGCTATGTAGAGAGACCCTGTCTCAAAAACAAAACAAAAACCAACAACAAAAACCCCACATATTTACTATGTCCTTCCTAATAGTTTAGTGCTTGGGGATAGTGAAAACTCTTGCCATTGAAGGACAGTTTCATTGGATTTTCTCTGTAGGTTAAATGACACCATGGAAACTATGTTCTCACCAATCACGAAGTAGAAATCTTGACACTGTCTCATGGAGATTATTCTTACATTGTATACAGGCTATGTTACAACTTGAACTGCACTAGAGAAATAGCCAAAGGCACTATTTCCCAGAAGTTTCTAGCAAACAATTTTTACAACTAGGATTCTATTGATAACTGAGTAGGGCATAAATACCAATTCTATTGTTTCTAAGCTTTGAAAATTTGTATGCGTTCTTTATTAAGATATATTTCATATCCATTCTTACTCAAATTTTCAGAAAAAAATCACTCTTATCTATCTATTCAATACATGTAATCTTCAAAAGGGTCATATCACAAATATGTATTTGATTTACAAAACGTCAAAACCTACATTTTCAAAATGTTTCCTGTGCTTTTATGCTTTGTGTGTCATAGTACAGCAACACCACCTTCACAACGACTAGTGATCATGTTACCAATTTCTGTCCATGTATCTGAATGAGGGTTGTAAACTTCAACTGAGTCCAAGGTACCTGGGGCCAAGAAATCATGGCTAGAAGAGCGGCCTCCAGAAACATACAGGAGACCATTGACCGCCACAACACACATGCCTGCTCTAGGCACTTTCATTGAAGCAACTTCAACCCACTTTTCCTAGTAAAATAAAGTGAGAAAAGAATTAACATTAATAGTGTCATAAAATGATAATAAAATCTCTGAGAAATATATTCTAGACTTTACATGTTTAAATTCAAACAATTCAACTAAGTATATACAACATTTTAAAATGAACTTTTTGGCAGGCCTGATTAAACAGTCTAGAGAATAGTTAAACATATCTGACTATAAAATGTGATCAGGTAATGACATAGCCACCATATAGAGGGACTGGAGAGAGGGATAGTGATCAAAAGCACTGCCTGGTCTTGCAGAGAACTGAGGCTCAGTTCCTAGCACACACATGATGCTAACAACAGTCTGTAACTCCAGTTCCAGAGTACCTAATTGTACTGAGACCCTGATTACCTGTACTGCTGACCACGCCTGGGCCTGGTCACAGGTATGGAGAAGGGTGTGGGATAAAGGACGAGGAGGAGTTGGGCACTCGCTCTCTGGTTCTGCCAGCTTTGGGAAGCATCTGGGACCAGACTTCTCGGAGTGCCAAATCTGGTTACTGATTCCTCATGTGAGTATATATATTTCCCAATATGTTACCAATTAATAACCTATCTTGGGTTCCATTCTTCTTCCTCATTACCTAATACTTCCTTCTGGGCTCTACAGGCATTGTATACATGTGGTATAAGACATTCATGCAGGCAAAACACCCTTGCAAATAAAATAAATCAGTTTTAAAATTAGGAGTCATTTGGGGGCTGGAGAGATGGCTCAGCAGTTAACAGTACCGACTGCTCTTCCAGAGGTCCTGAGTTCAATTCCCAGCAACCACATGGTGGCTCATAACCATCTGTATTGAGATCTGGTGCCCTCTTCTGGTGTGCAGATATACATGGAAGCAGAATGTTGTATACATAATGAATAAATAAAATCTTAAAAGTAAATTAGGAGTCATTTAATCTAGCATTCTGAGAACCTGTGTCTATGAAATGCCAGTAAGTAATAGATGATAAAAATCTGATGATAAAAAAAAGAGATGATAAAATCCCAAGGGAAAAAAGGCTTATATATTAAAAGGCTTTTTATTTTTGAAAGATTCTTCAAGACTTTTATTTAGGTGGCTAGGGAGATGGCTCAGCAGTTAAAAAGACTTACTACCTGTGGTGGATTGAATAATAATGGCCCCCATAAGTTGACATTTTTGAGTGTTTCGTCATCATTGAATGGTAATATTTGAAAGGATTAGAAGGATTAGGAGGTGTGGTGAGATATATAATGATTTATTAAAGCTTGCCTGAGGATTCAGAAAGCAAAGTCAGCCACAGGCCATAGAAGCCAGGCACATACCTTTAATCCCAGCAGCCAGAAGCTAGGAGGTGGTTGTACACACCTTTAATCCTAGGACTCAGGATTAAGAGGAAGAGGAATCTCTCTGAGTTCAAGGCCACCAAGGGATACATGAGATTAAATCAGTCTAAAAGAGTAACAGATCACATGCCTTTAATCCCAGTACTAGAGGGGTATAAAAGATAGAAGCAGGGTCTTCAGTATTCAGTAGGAGGCATTAATTTTCCAGCCACACTGAAGATAGAAAGGCTCAGTATCAAGGTGGATAGGAAGACATTCAGACTAGCTACACTGACGAGAGGCAGCAGGATCAGCCCTTTCAATCTGAGGTAGCGGTAAGAGCTAGTGGGCAGCTACTTTGCTTTTCTCATTTTCAGCTAAAAGCTTGAACCCCAATATCAGTCTCTGGGTCATTTATTTAATCATGCAACAGTGTGGTCTTGTTGGAGGAAGTGTGTCACTAGAGGTGGGTTTTGAGGTTTCAACACTCGCCCCACCACCTATGAATTAGAATGTAGCTCTCAGCTTCTGCTCCAGCACCTGCCCGCCTGCATACCAGCATGTTCTCCACCATGATAGTGGACTAAACCTCTGAAACTGTAAGGAAAACCCAGTTAAATGCTTTCTTTCATAAGAGTTGCCCCGATCATGGTCTCTTTACAGCAATAAAACAATGACTAAACCAGAAGCTGGTACCAAAAAGCGAGGTAATGCTGTGATAGGTCTGACCATGCTGTTTGTTAGAGAAATATGGAAGACTTTGTGACTCAGCTATTGGATGCTTTAAGCTGGGTTTAATGGCCATACTAGTAGGAGCATGTAAGACAGTGGTGCTGAAAGCAATGTAAATTATGTTGATTTTGCCCAAAAAGTTTGAGGGGAAGAATGTACTAATAAGTGGCCAAGAGACCATTCTTGAGATATGTTGATGAAGAATAGAGCTGCTTTCTATCCTTGTCCTTAAAATTTGCTACAGGCTATTAAGTTTCAAACCCAGGACAAAAGTCTGAGGTACTTATTTAACACATCAAAGTAGCACTCGCCAACAAGTTCTCCTAGCATCCCACAGTCCCTACCTGTTACAGAGTATGGCTGGCATACCCCTGAATTCTCCAGCCCAGAGTTGGGCTGCCCTTCCTCCAGAGGTTCTTCCCTATATAATCCAGACATTTTGGTTACACACTTTTTTGGACTAGTGGCCTTCTGGCTGCTGCACCTGGTACCCCCCTCAACACCCTAACTCAGGTCAGTCTGGTCATGTCCACTCTGGACTCTTCCAGATGTCTCTGCCTCTACCTACCTTCTCCCTTTTATCTACAACAAACCTTCTCCACCATACCTAGGAACAGTCATGTCCTTTCTTTTTTTATTTCTTTTTTTCATCCAGAGGCTAAGTTGAAGAGTTTTAGATTGTTGGAATTGGCAGAGATTTCAAGACAGCTTAGTATTGACAGTGTTGTGTGGTTACTAGTAGTCATGCTTATGCAGATCTACAATGGAAAAGGAGCACATAGGCAAGGAAAAATGCAAAATGTACAGTTGAGGAAAGAATTGTGAGGAAGTCTAATGGAGCAAAGTCCAGTGCTCAAGGAGATGAAAAGATGAAAAGGCATCTGTGCCCAAGATCTGTCACTGTCTATACAGTACTTAGGCCATTTGTCCGTCTACACCTCAGCCATGCCACCAAACACCATTGTCTACTTCCCAGTTCCAGAGTGCTCTGAGGTCATGCACATACTGCTGGCTGACCAGGGCCAGAGCTGGAAGAAAGAGGTGGTTACCGAAGATACCTGATGCAAGGCTTGCTCAAGCCCACCTGTATTGGCAGAATGACCTACTATAGTTATTGGCTTAAAAGACTTTCATCATTATACTTTTGAAAGAAAAAGGGAAAAATTTGCCTTCATGGTGCCTACTTACATTAACTCTCAGCTGGTCAAGAGATGTCAATGGAAGGTCCTCCCACAGGGAATGTTAAATGGCCCCACCCCATCCCAATATTATATGTAAAAACTGTTGGAAATAATTCATATACAGTTTCCACAATATATAATTCACCATTATATGGATGATATCTTTTGGGGTAGGGGGCAGTTTTGAGACAGGGTTTCTCTGTAGCTTTGGAGCCTGTCCTAGAACTCGCCCTGTAGACTAGGCCGGCCTCAAACTCACAGAGATCTGCCTGCCTCTGCCTCCTGAGTGCTGGGACTACCAATGCTCAACTATGGCTGATATTTTGTTGGCTGATTCAAAGACAGACACTTTAGGAAACATGTTCAAAGAAGTAAAGAAAGTTTTGCCTCACTGGGGATTACAAATTGCTCCTGAAAAAATACAGAGAGGAGATTTTAACTATTTAGGATATAAGATAGGTCTAGAAAAAATTAGAACACAGAAGGTACAGATCAGGAGAGATCCATTTCGGACTCTTAATGATTTTCAAAGATTGCTAGGAGACATTTCCTATCTAAGGCCCACTATTGGAGTAGAAAAATATGAACTGAATAATCTGGCCAAGATCCTAGAAGGGGACAAGGACTTAAACTGTCCAAGAGAATTATCGCTGATGCTGAGAGAGAATTGGCTTTGGTGGAAAAGAAATCACAAGATGCACATGTTGATCTTGTAGATCCAAAGCTTAACTGCATTCTGGTTATATTACCCTCTAGACAATCCCCTTTGGGGATTTGGATGCAGAGGGAAGATATTATATTGAAATGGATATTCCTACCATGTAAACAGAATGAGAAACTAAAGACTTATGTGGAAAAGATTTCTGAGTTGATTTAAAAGGAAAATTAAGACTGTCAACTGACAGGAATGGAGCATGCAGAAATTATAGTACCTTTAACTAATGAGGGAAGTTCCTCTTTATGGAAAGATAATGAATACTAGCAAAGACCTTGCTTTGACTTTTTGGGACAGATTAGCAACAATTATCCCAAAAGTGAGAGAATTATTTTTGTTTGTTTGTTTTTGTTTTTGTTTTTCGAGACAGGGTTTCTCTGTGGCTTTGGAGGCTGGCTGGCTCTTGTAGACCAGGCTTGTCTTGAACTCACAGAGCTCCACCTGCCTCTGCCTCCCAAGTGCTGGGATTAAAGGCGTGCGCCACCACCACCTGGCAGAGAGAATTAAATTCATAAAAAAAACCATTTGGATCCTTCCACACATTGTAAGGAAAACACCAATCTCTATGTTATATACTGATGCAAACAAATCAGGTAAGGCAGAATATAAATCAGGAAATTTAAGCAAAGTGGTTCAATGCACTTACAACTTTGTGCAAAAGTCAGAATTGTATGCCATTTTATGCTACTCATGGGTTTTATAGAACCTTTCAATATAGTTACTGACTCTGGATATGTAGAAAGAGTTGTTTTACACATTGAAACTGCTGAATTTATTCCTGATGAAACAGAATTAACTTCTTATTTATACAGTTACAGGAGATAATCAGGAATAGGAATCGCTATATATTTTTATATATATATATATATATATATATAATCACATCAGATCTTATACGGGTCTGCCAGGTCCTCTAGCACAAGGTAATGATGAACTTGATCAATTATTAAGCACTCTGGAGGCCTCAGAATTTCTTTTTAAAAAATCACCATGTCAATAGCAGAGGTTTAAAAAAGGATTTTTCCATCTAAGCCAAGGAAATTGTAAAAATATGTTCTACTTGTTCCTTCTATAACCAAACTCCTTTACCTGCAGAAAGTAACCCTAAAGGTATGCAAAGAAATGAAATTTGGTAAATGGATGATTTCATTTTGCAGAGCATGGAAAATTAAAATATATACACCATACAATAGACATATTTTCAGGATTTCATATTTTCAGGAAACTACCCTGAGTTCTGAAAAGACTGATTCTATAATTACACACCTATTAGAAGTTATGGCCATCATGGGTATACCTTCACAAATTAAAACTGACAATGTTCTAGCATATGTCTCTAGTAAAATGAAACAGTTTTTTGAATATTATAATATAAAGCATATTACAAGTATGAGAGATCTAATCATACTTTAAAAGAAATGCTTAATAAACAGGGAGGTGGAACCAAGACCCCTAGAGGTTGCATAATGCCATATTAACCCTGAATTTTCTTAATGCTAATTATAAAGGAACAACAGCTACAGAGAGACATTGGACAACAGAAAAAAACTTCTGAGTTAAATCAGCCTATGTACTTCAAAGATGTGTTGACCTCAGAATGGAAACTAGAATATGTGCTACGTTGGGGAAGAGGTTTCACTTTTGTTTCCACAGGTGAAGAAAAACTATGGATACCATTAAAATTAATTAAGATTCTGTTAGAACGGGAGAAGACTCTTGATAAGGAGAAAAGACAGCTCATCCACTGGTGTGACGATCCTACAAGTTGTAAGGACAACTCACAAGGGTCATGGCAGGGTTCTGTTTTTGTCTTTACAGGAAAACAGAAATACCCATCTTTAGGAAATCAAAAGACCACACCGGGTGGTTGTGGTGCATGCTTTTAGTCCCAGCATTCAGGATGCAGAGGCAAAGGACCTCTGTGAGTTGAGACCAGCCTGGTCTACAAGAGCTAGCTCCAGGACAACAGCCTCCAAAGCCACAGAGAAACCCTGTCTCCAAAAACAAAAAAACAAAAAACAAAAAACAAAAAAAAAGACCTTGGACATCTAGACATCTAATGAAGGGAAAGGTATGCAAAAAAAACCTACCAAGCTAAGAGAAATCTGACCTATGGTACCAATATTCTCTGTGGGGTAAAATCTCACTACTTAAACATCTATATCTCTTTACTTCTCAGAATAGTTGTAGTCCTGACTAATTTAAAAATCAAAGCTGAACCAGACAGTAGTGGCACACACCTTTAATCCCAACACTTGGGAGGCAGAGGCAGGTGGATCTCTGTGAGTTCATGGCCAGCTTGGTCTACAGAGAAAGCAACACAGAGAAACCCTGTCTCAAAAAACAAAACCAACAAATAAATAAATAAAATCAAAGCTGGCTTTGGAGTTGGAGTGTGGCTCTCTTCTCTAAATCCAAGCCTGTTGTTAAAAGAAAACTTCAGAGTTTCTGTTTCATATCAGAAGAGCCACCAGGTGTAGGACAAAAGAAAACCAAAAATCTAGGGACTATTGTTGCCAAAGGTCTGTTATCCCCTTAAAATTCTACTTCTCCCCATATTTATTTTCATCTCTATGGTAACTTTCTTTCTTTCTTTCTTTCTTTTTTTTTGGTTTTTCGAGACAGGGTTTCCCTGTGGATTTGGAGCCTGTCCTGGAACTAGCTCTTGTAGATCAGGCTGGTATCGAACTTGCAGAGATCCTTTGCCTCTGCCTCCCGAATGCTTGGATTAAAGGTGTGCACCACCAATGCCTGGCTGGTAACTTTTTTTGAATGCAGATCTATCAAAAATTTAAACTTTCCATTTTGATATTAGTAATGTTTAAGTTTTCCACAATGAACAATGAATTTTCCTAACAGCAATCTCTGAAGTCTCCAGAAAGAGGATGGGGCCCCACAACCTGGTTTATAATGATGCCTTTGAGCCAATAAACACCGCTCAAGGATTGGCTTTGGACTAAAACTGCTCAAGACAATTCCAAATTGGTCAGCTGAGATGGTTCAACCTCTTACAACACTCTAGCCAGAACTTCAGAGTGAAAGAGAACAGATCACTACCGATCTAACAGGTACTGAAAGGAAATAAGACACTAAACATTTGAAATCATCCAACCCACCTCTTCAAAAGAGTACTTTTCCACAGTATGAAGGGCATCTTGTGTCTCATTCCACCCTCCAATAGAGTAGATGCAGTCATTGAGTGCTGCCACTCCAAGATAGGCTCTTCTGGTTCCCATGGGAGGAAGTGGAGACCAACGCTTGGAAAGTGGATCATAAACTTCAAAAGAACGAAGCTCTAGTCCCTCATTGCTGATTCCTCCAACTACATAAATTAAACCTGAAAAACAGAAGATTTGTGCTCAGTTTCTATGGAAAAGAAATAGGCCAACTATGGTGGTCCAGGCCTTTGATCCCAGCACTCAGGAGGCATAGGCAGTCAGATCTGAGTTTAAGGCTAGCCTGGTCTATATAGTGAGTTCCAAGACAACAACTATAGCTGCATAGTGAGACCCTTGTCTTTCAAAAATTAGTAATAATACAGACTAGAGAGGTGGCTAACAGCCATCCGTAATGAGATCTGGTTCACTCTTCAGGCCTGGAGGCCTACATGCAAGCAGAACACTGCATACATACCAAAAAATAAACTGGTTTGGTACTTTCTCCCTACTTTGGGAAAATAACTTAGGTGTTGATATGAGAGAAAAACGACAATAATGGAAGATACAGTAAACATTTACTAAACAGCTACTTCTGACCATCTGAAATTTTCCTTTTTTTATTTATTTTTTATTTTTTTAGACAGGGTTTCTCTCTGTAGCCTTGGCTGTCCTAGAACTCACTCTGTAGACCAGGCTGGTGTTGTAGGAACTCATTCAGCCAACAGCCTTTGGGATACAGGCCCATTAAATGCGTGGTTTCAGGGCTACAGGTGGACTGATAAGAGGGAAAAGAAGCATGATGTCTCTCTTCCTTGATGGTTGGAGATCAAAACACAGCATCCAGTGCCCCCAGGCCAGAAGACCTAGGCAATTATCTATCTTTATTGTTATTCATGAGTGTTCCCCAAATAAATATTTGATATCCTTTTATTCAGGCTCATGTGGACTTCATTACTCTTGCCTACAGGCTGACCTCAAACTCACAGAGATCCGCCTGCCTCTGTCTCTTAAGTGCTGGGATCAAAGGAGTGCGTCAACACTGCCGGGCCTAATTTTTCTTTTCTTTCTTTTTTCCTTCCTTTCTTTTTTTTGTTTTTGTATTTTTTCCAGACAGGGTTTCTCTGTAGCTTTGGAACTTACCTTGGAATTTTTTCTGTAGATCAGGTTTGCCTTGAACTCACAGAGATCTGCCTGCCTCTGCCTCCCAAGTGCTAGGATTAAAGGCATGCATCAACACTGCCTGGCCTAATTTTCTTATTTTTTAATAAAACATTTTAGTTGTGTGATTGTCTGTGTATCTGTAAAAGAGAGATGGTATAAAACCAATTTGAACACTTACTGGTGGCTACAGTTTCAACAAAGAATGATAAATTGGCTCTGCATTCCATGTAACAAATGTTGAGGTCAGAGGACAATTTACGGGAGTCAATTCTCACTGTTCACTGTTGTGGAATATTAGTTAAGATGTGTTATATTTGTTTATGCTGTGGAATATTTGTTTATTGGTGCAAAGATGTGTTGCATTCTTTTATGTTGCATTTGTTTAACTCTGTGAAGCTGTGTTACTTTGCCTGTCTAAAACACCTGATCGGTCTGATTAAGAGCTGAATGGCCAATAGCCAGGAGAGAGAAGGATAGAGGATCTAGAGAAGGAGGAGAAGAGGATGCCAGGAGCCAGCCACCCAGCCAAACAGTCATGGAGTAAGATGGAAAGAAAGGTATATAGAATAAACAAAGGTAAAAGCCTAGATGTAAAAGGTAGATGGGATAATTTAAGAAAAGCTGACTAGAATAAGCCAACCTAAGGCTGGAAGTTTGTAAGTAAGAATAAGTCTCCATGTACTTATTTGGGGGCTGGGTAACAGACCCCTAAAGAAGAAGCAGAAGAAAAACAACAACAACTGCAGTCCACTATTTGGGCCCTGGGTATCAAACTCAGGTTGTCAGAGCTGGCAACAGGCACATTTACCCACTAAGCCATTTCTCTAGCACATATCTGATGGATTTATTTACTTATTTGGGTTTGGTTTCTTGAGCCAAGATTTCTCTATTTAGACCATTCTGGACTCTACCTCACAAGTGCTAGAGTTAAAGGTATGCACCATCATACTAAGTTTTTAACTTAGTTTTCTTCATTACAAGAAAATTATTCTAGCAATACAGAAACAAAATGACAGTAACCCAAGAAGTTAAAGTGAGAACTTCTATATTACTGGCACTAATCCTTTAATAACAACCTTAAAATACATTGTGAAAATAGGGCCTCAATTAGTTTTTTAGTTTATACCTATTTAGTTTGTGTGTTCATGTGTACCTGTGTGTGCATGCCATACCACATGTGTGGAGCTCAGTGGACAATTTGCAGGAGATGGTTCTCTCCTTCTACCATATGGGTTCCATTAATCAAACTTGAGTCAGATGTGGTGGAAGTTCCTTTACCTGTTGAGCTGTCTTGTCTGCCCTTCAAACTTATTTCTTCATATGTTTGTTTGTTTATTATTCATTCACTTATTTATTTTGGCTTTTTGAGACGGAGTTTCTCAGTGTAGCTTTAGCTGTCCTGGCACTTGATCTGGAGATCAGAATGGGCTCAAACTCACAGATATCTGCCTGCCTCTGCCCCCTGAGTACCGGGATTAAAGACTTGTGCCACCACCACCTGACCCCCTTAAACTATTTTTTTTTTTTGAGACAGGGTTTCTCTGTGGCTTTGGAGGTTGTCCCGGAACTTGCTCTGTAGACCAGGCTGGCCTTGAACTCACAGAAATCCTCCTGCCTCTGCCTTCCGAGTGCTGGGATTAAAGGCATGCACCACCAATGCCTGGTGATCTTAAACTATTTTTATACATAGAATTTTATACAAAAATATATATACACATATACACAGAGATCTGCTTGCCTCTGCCACCCAAGTGCTGGCATTACAGATATGCACCACCATGCTTGGCTCCCCAAAACTATATTTTTTTTCTCATAAATTTCCTTTTGATTCTTTGGGTATTTCATATCATGTACCCCAATCCCACTATTTTACCAGTCCTTCTATGTCTGCCTTCCACCCTCGTAGCCTCCCCACAGCATAGAGAAAAACTTCACTCCTCTGTATTTCCCTCCTCTCCATCACATATTCATTTGTCCTAGTGGCCTTGGAAGCTGCAATATGTTACATAGGGTACTCTTTTGCCAAAACAGCTTTATTTGCAAATGTTTATTATACTGTGTACACCATCAATACTGGACTTTCACCAAAACTTCTCTTAGATATCTTGCTGTTGCCCTGAGTGGTGGAAATCCTGTGGCTATGATTCTGGACCTGTCCCTTTGCTCCAGCAGATCATAGGTGGAGTAGATGAGGCTGGCCAGTTCAAAGCCTTGTATATAGGCCTGGGTGGTAGCTGAGTTAGTCAGTCCAGGCCTCCACCAGGACCAACCCCCTCAGGCAAGGGTCAGGGCCAGCTCTCCCTTCCCCATGCTATCAAATCCAGCTCTCCCGTGGTTCCCAATGGTAACAAACCCTCAGACATCAACACAGACTACAGCTGCAGTAAGGCCAAGGACATCACCATGGCCCTGACTGGCAGCACAGACAACTCAGATTAGTAGCCCCGTGGCAGCATGGCCCTTATACATCAATATGGCCTCAGGCCCAGACCAAGCATCTGTATGATGTGGGTAAAGATTTGTCATTCATATTGGTTAAATAAAATGCTGATTGGTCAGTAGCCAGGCAGGAAGTAAAGGCAGGGCTACCAGACTAGGAGACTTCTGGGAAGAGGAAGGCACAGAAACAGTCACCAGCAAGACACAGAGAAAGCAAGATGAGAATGCCATACTGTGAAAAGGTACCAAGCCATGTGACTAAACATAGATAACAATTATGGGTTAATTTAAGTTGTAAGAGCTTGTTAGTAATAAACCTGAGCAATAGGATAAACAGTTTATAATTAATATGATTTGGGACTGAATGGCTGCAGGATGGGGTGGAACAGAAACTTCCATTTACAACTGTAGGCCTTCTCAGGTAACTTGGGCCACAGACATCAACACAGATCCCAGGTGTGGGAGGGCCATGGACCCAGGCTGTCGGGAGCCATGGCAAAAATAACCTTGGACCTGTAAGAGACTTAGGCTGCTTCAGAGAAAGTTGCCAGCATTTTAAGAATAACCCCTTATGTTAAAAGAATAGATGTCTTCAATCCTTCCCTCCTGATACATAGCATTTGTGCCCATAGAAGTAGCTTGTAGAAAGAAAGAAACATTTCAAGGTCAGGTTGCCTAGCAACCCTTCCCCCATGCATTCTGTAACCCAGCTAACATTTCCCCTTTCAGCCCCTATCTAGACACCCGCGCTGTCCAACCTTGACAAGCATCCTGGACTCCCCACTTTCCTTCAAGGACTCACACACAGGAACATTCCTGAGTCTGGTTATCAGGCAAGCAGCCTCAAACGACCTCTCCCTGCCTGTCAAGCTCCCCGCTTGGCACCCCTATATAAGGACCCTGTGAAAAAATAAAAAATTACAGCTTGATCAGAGACCTGTCTTGCTGTGGTTCTTTGTGCCTCTTGACCCTATCTTTTCAGGTTCTTTGGTGACTACAGCACATCGGGGTGTGAGCTCCCGCAGGTTCGGGGCACCAGGCAAGGCCCTTGGCTGCTGTAGCACAGGCGCAGACATCACTTGGCCCCAGGTGGCAGTGCAGGCCACCCACACCAACCTGTTTCTCATCACATCTGTGTCTTCAGTTCTGCTTCTCTCCACAGTGCGTGAACCACTTTGCTTCTCCTTCTCTCCCATTTCTCCACTATATATCTATCTGGTGATCACAGTGGTCATAGCCTGCCTGCCCATGGCCCAGATGCCGGGGTGGCCTGTTCCATAACTATTTTTTAACATGACTTCTGTATCTTCAAAATTATTATTCTAATCAAGGCCAATTCTAAGTTAACACGTACATAAATACATATATACCAAATGATAAATACTGTATTGCTGGTAACTGAACAGAAAAAAATATCTTATAAAAGCATTACCTTGCATTTCACAGCACCCAAAGTAGTAGCGAGACACAGCCATGTTGCCAACAACTTCCCATTTGTTTTCATCAGGATCAAATCGTTCAATGGTATTGCCAATCTCAGCTCCAACCCACCCACCTGGAACAAAACAAAAAATAATAATTTCTGAGATAAAGGAATCTAATTTATGACAAAGAGTTTAGAAACCACCTAATTTAACTGTTTCATATTACAGATGAGTCTATATGGACCAGATAGGTGATCTGTCCAAGCTGACATGAAAAATCAGAATGTAATTATGAGTAAAGTTCAGATTTGCTCATTAGAGTAAAATGAACAAAGAAAAAAATTTAGCTTAGTATGAGAAATGATTTTTTTTTTTTAATGGGCTGGGTGGGGACAAGTGATGAACACCTGGCAAACTTGGACATCCTATGTCCCCATCACCTCAGCCTTCTCTCATCTTTTTTTTTTTTAAGATTTTATTTATTATGTATACAACATTTTGCTTCCATGCATATCTGAACACCAGAAGAGGGCACCAAGTCTCATTATAGATGGTTATGAGCCACCATGTGGTTGCTGGGAATTGAACTCAGGACCTCCGGAAGAGCAGTCGGTGCTCTTAACCTCTGAGCCATCTCTCCAGCCCCAAGAAATGATTTTTTTTCCAAAACTTTTTTATTTTTAATTTTTGAAACAGTTTTACTACATAACCCTGGCTGCTCTGGAATTCACAGAGATCTGCCTGCATCTACCTAGCTAGAATGCTAGGATTAAAGATACACCTCACACCTGGGTGGTGATGGCTCACACCTTCAGTTCCAGCACTCAGGAGGCAGAGGCAGAAGGGTCTGAGTTCCAGGACAGCCAGTGCTATACAAAGAAATCTTGTCTCCAAAAACCTAAAAAAAAAAAAAAGAAAAGAAAGAAAAACACTAATATACCTGACCCCAAAACTATTTTTTTCTTTTCTTTCTTTCATTCATTCTTTCCTTTTTAAAAAAATCTTTTTTTTTTTTTTTTTTTTTTTTTTTTTTTTTTTTTGTTTATCAAGACAGGGTTTCTCTGTGTAGCCTTGGCTGTTCTGGAACTCACTCTATAGATCAGGCTGACCTTGAATTCACAGAGATCCGCCTGCCTCTGCCTCCTGGGATCAGGGATGGGCTACCTGAAATAGAAGACTATTTCTCCTCTCTCAGCATTTCTAGGTTGCTGGTAATTCTTTTTTTTTTTTTTTTGCTGGTAATTCTTTGTATAGAGTTGAGGCGCGTGGGCTTCTCTGCATCCATGTTAGCTGTCTACTACTGATGTGTCCTTGTTCAGCTCATGTTTAGGCAGCCATTTTGGTTAGACTTTATGGTGTATCTTCTGACATTTCTAAAGACAGCCTCATAGCAAACGGACCTACATTCTTTCCATCCCCTCTTTTGTGATGATCTCTGATACTTAGGTGATACTGTTTTGTATTTTGAGAGAGATACAATGTATCTCAGGCTGGCCTGAAACTCATGAAGGGTTATTTGCATTAATCCCTGAGAGTGCTAGTAACAGAATGCTGGCCCATTCTCCAATTTTTGAAATTGAAAATATTCCCTTCATTCATGTATCACAGCCAACACCTATAGTTATAGCAAGAAAATGGCAAGTTCAATGTTTCTAGGGCAGCATGAGATACAAAGTGAGACCCTGTCTCAAAAAAAAAAAAAAAAAAAAGAAAGAAAGAAAGGAAGGAAGAAAGAAAGAAATTTACAAAGCTGAAAAGACTCACTTGTTTTTTTCAAGACACAGTCTCACTATGCAGCTCTCCCTGGCCTGGATCTTACTATGTAAACCAGGCTGGTTTTGAACTACCATCTATCCTGCCTCTTCCAGCCCTACATCTAGATGCAATTTTTTTATGTCATTAAAGAACATCTCTAAAATTGTCAGATCCCAAGAACTTAATTAATATCAGTTATTCTTAAGTCAAACAGCATAATTACCCAAAGCATAGATAGCCCCATAACACACACATACTCCCAAGCCACAGCGGGGGTGATTCATTGAAGCAACAGTTGTCCATTGTTTAGTAACTGGATCATAGCATTCAGTACAGTCAAAAATCATTGAATCCTTTTCACCTGAATTTGAAAAAGAGACACATGTCAGGTTTAGTGGTGGTAAAAGAATAGAATTAGAATACAATATTCAACAGTGTTAGCATTTTCTGTTGTCAGAAATCAACCATTGGGTCTAATTTTAAAATACCCATTAAAAGTCTTTGCCTAGCAAGCAATATTTTTAATTCAAAACACTGCCATTTATTAAAGACCAGTTATGAAACAAAAGCACATGTCTAATTATTTCTAGTTCTACCACCTAAACAATTCATATAAATTTTGAGGAGACAATTTCCATTTTAACATTCCCATTTCTTTTCAGGTAATAATTTAGACTTATTGACGTGGGAGGTTCTTCTGTATGCTGTAAATAAGTGGTGCTTTTATTGGTTGATGATAATGCTGTTTTGGCCAATGGATAGGCAGGATTTAGCTAGGTGGGAATTCTGAACAAAGAGGCAGGGAAAAGAAGGACAAAGGACAGACACCATGTAGCCACTGGGAAAGGAGGATGCTTGGGCATTCCCTGGTAAAACAGGGCCACGTGGAGATATACAGATTAATAGTTATGATTAATAATTAACAGAGAGCTAGCCAGTAAGAAGCCTAAGCCATTGGCTAAGCAGTACCCTTCAGTACTGTATTGTTCTGTAAGTTCAGCAGTCACTTTCTTGTGAGTCCTGCATGTAAGGCAGGTTATAAAGCAGATGAGGTAAGTAAAGTAGTTCAAAGTCCATACAGAAAGTCCTTCTGTACAGAAGGCAGAATTATATGCAATTCTCATGGTGCTTATGGATTTTACAAAACCTCTTAATATAGTTACTGATTCCCAATACGCAGAGAGTTGTGTTACACATTGAGACTGCAGAATTCGTTCCTGATAATACAGAATTAACCTCATTGTTTTTGCAATTACAGAAAACTATCAGAAACAGAAGTAATCCTATATATATTACACATATCAGATCCCATACAGGTCTGCCAGGCCCACTAGCACAAGGCAATGATGAGATTGATCATTTATTAATTGGAAGTGTGCTAGAAGCCTCAAAATTTCAAAAGAAACATCATGAAAACAGCAAAGGTTTGAAAAAGGACTTCTCCATCACTTGGCAACAAGCCAAGGAGATAGTGAGAAAGTGTCCTACTAGTTCCTTTTATAATCAAACTCCATTGCCAGCAGGTTGTAATCCTAAGGGAATTCGGAGAAATGAGGTTTGGCATATGGATGTCTCACTTTGCAGAGTTTGGAAATTTGAAATATGAGCATCATACTATAAACACATTCTCAGGGTTCCAATGGGTTACTGCTCTTAACTCTGAAAAAGCTGATTCTGTTATTACACAC